GGGGCATAGAAAACCGGTACGCATACATTGAAAAGCCGATGTAACTAAACTAGAGGACTAGAGGACCTCTTACAGGCCTTCTATGGTGAGAAGACCTCTTACAGGTTATGTATGGCTACAGGATTTCTTCTATGGCCAAAGGGCCTCTAACAGGTCTTTTGTGGCTGAAAAATCTTTCTCAAGTCCTCTAAAGCTAAGAGACCTATGGCTAAAGAACTTGAAAAAGGTCTTATACGGCTTAAAGAGTTCCTACAAATATGCTTTGGCCTGGAGATCGAAGACCTACGACAGGTACTCTATTGACAGGGAGTCTTTCACATGTCTTCTATGGCTGGAAAAAACTTTTACAGATGTTATATAGCCAGAATGTTTTCCCTGATAAAAATTTTTTTAATCAAAATATTTTGTTATGCATTTCAGTTCCTCGTTTTTATTTTTGTTTTTTTTTTTTAGATGAAGTAGTCTCTACAAAAATTTACGAAAAATATGGCTTGTACGATAAAAGGCGGCTTCAGGGCGTGACATTGATATATTTTGACCTAAATGGTGTCGTATACATTGTGACGTTAATCATACGTCCATATATCTATTTCCTTTTAAGTCTTAATTTAGGGTTATTTTGACTCCCATTTGGAAATATTAGTTAATACTTTTTTATAATTAAATATATTATCTCGTGGATATGTAACATTAATTTGAGACAATTGCAAAGAATTTTTTATATCAATCAAATTTGAAATCTGGCCATTGGTGAAAACTTTACAAAAATTTATATGACTATTTATTAAAGGTCTTCTATGGCCATAGTCACTTCCTTTCTTAACAAAAGATTTTCCTAACAAACATTTTCTAATAATTGTTTTTCAATATTTTCCATTTCACAAGAATGTTTCCATTTCCTCTTCATTCTCGGAAAAGTTGCCTTCTTCTATGCTTTAATGTCTGAATTCTATGGCTGATAAAATTCCAATGAATTTTTGGATACCAATGGAAAATGTTTCCACAAAATATTTTCATATCAATCTTGTTTAATATTTTCCATTTCTCAAAAAATTTTCCATTTCCTCTTCATTCCTGGAAACGTAGCCTCTTCCTACTATTTGGTGTCTGAATTTTATGATTGACACAATTCCAAAGAATTTATTCGAACCAATTGAGTTTGAAATCAGAAATAGTTCTTATTTCTATTTTATTCAGAATTAGCCGGGAAACATAAGATTGAGAGGTATCACGTGCGCCAAAGATGCAAAAACATCAGTGGAAAAATTATTGGCACGAAACATTAGCCTATCATGTGATTTGAAAAAGCTAGTTGTTTTGTTGTTTTCTCTTCATGGGAAAATTATGTTGTTATTTCCAAAAATTTTCATGAATCACCTTAGTGTGACGGTGTCACCAAAACAAAAAGACATTATTTTATATTGTACACACTCATATATATATATATGGGAATACATTTTTTTCTAAATAGCTTATATTTTTGTTATTGTTATTATTATTACTTTTTTTTGGTAAAATTCCATTCAGATTTTTTTGCCATGTCTTTTTTTTTTTTTTGGTTGGAAAATATAAATATTTTAAATGAGTATTATAATTAATATATGTATATTAACATATGTATACGTTTTTGTATATATTTATATATAGATGCCACTTGTTTTGTTGTTTTCTGCAAAAAAAAAAGACAAAAAAAAAATATACGTTAGCTGTTATATATGTGGTTGTTATTATTTTTTATAACATAAATTATAGCGGATGTTTGGGCGATTTCATTCATTATACTCTACGTTACCACAAAATAAGCAATTTGAGTACATATCATCACAAGTATATAGCTATTATTTTTTTTTTTTTTATTTATTATTCTACAAATAATTTGAAATTTTGGAATATTTGGCCTACGTGACTCTTTGTATTATTCGATTTTGGACAATTTTCGATCTGATGGCCACGGTTCTTAACTATTTAGATTTCTATCTATTTATTCCACCTTACTCCCCAAGACCACGAGAATCACTCGTTTTACCCATAATTTTTGAAATTTTCGGATTAAGAATCCTTGGAATGTATGCATTTTTGGCATATAATGACTTTGCAAATATTGCAGATAACAATACGAGAATTATTCTGAATAACGAGTTATCAAAGGGGCATATTTGGTCCTATTTTTCAAAAATTGGTTAAAACCTTCCTTTAAACGGTATCGTAGCTAGGCAAAATATTCTGCAAAATCATTTGTCGTAAAATTCCACTATAGTCCTCAGAATACATCTAAAGTCTGAATATTACATAAATCCCAGGAATTCAGATCTATGAAAACACATTTTAGGGTTAAAATTGTACTTCATGAGAGTTTATGCGAAATTCTCCTAAAAAGGATCATTTTAGTAGGATGCCATCAAAGACAAAAATATTCTTCGTCGAATTCTGCTATAGGTCACCAAAGAAAAGAAATTTGTATTTTCATTATATATCAAGAAAATATCTTCATCAAAGTTGAAGAAAAAAAAAAAAACAAAAACATGTTAAAAAGTAGCAGTTGGATTTGCCGACAGATGTATACCCTCAGCCAATATTCGATTATTCAGATATATTGTGACTTCTGTTATGATTATTAAAATTGTTGGAGTTGGTTCCGAAAGAATGGGCCAATATTGACCATTTCGTATCGGAGCCAAATAAATATGATGTAAGTATTGCTACGTGCCAGGTTTCAATTAAAAATTACAAGAAAATCGAACATTTATATCCAATTTTATGCGAATTTGCGATAAATTCCATATTCATTTCCGATTTCTGGTTGAGATCAATATTTAGATATTGCAAATTGTAAAGAATCGCTGACTTGTTTCGGAAGTTATAAGAGTTTTAAGTATTTAAAATTATGATCGTTTGTGGGAGAGATACCACAAGCGGTAGTCCGATATCTATCATCTTCACACCGTATCTTGTGTTAGTACAAACATTGAGATTTGTGAAATTCGAATAGCATCGGATGCTTGTTTCTCATTTTTAGGGCGATTTGTTATCAAAAATTTAATTCCTCTGTGGAGGAGGTATCCGAAGGAGTATGTCGATATATTTCAACTTCACACCAGATCTTGTGTTACTAAAAATATTGGAATGTGCGAAATTTTAATTATTTCGCATTTTATGAGAGATATAATTATTCAAAACTTTGATCTGTTGTGGGAGAGGTACCAGAATAAATGGTCCGATCCCTACTATCTTATATTGATAGAAATTTCGTGTTTTATGAGCTTCATGGTCCCGAAGGATCTCTAGCATAAAGATGGTAGAGATCTTGTGTTAAAGAAATATTGAGATGTGCCAAATCTAAATAGAATCTGATGTTAATTTCGCAGATTATGAGCTTCATGGATACTCAACACTTTGGCCCTTGTGGCAGAAGTACCAGAAGGAGTGGACCAACATATATCCCAGGTATATTTTTGAAATATAAAGAGAGTCGACTATTTATTTCGGATTTTATAATCGTTTTGGTTATTCAAAACGTTGACCCTTTGTGGGGTAGATACCAGAAGAAATTGTCCGATCTCTACCATCTTTTTAACAGATCTTGTGTTGATGGAAATATTGAGAAATAACAAAATCTTAATGGAATCGGACGTTAATTTTATGTTTTATGAGCCTCATGGATATTAAAAATGTTGACTCTTTGTGGGGGAGGTACCAGAAGATATTTTTCGATCTCTTTATAACAGCTCTTATGGTTATGGAAATATTGAAACGTATCAAGTTTGAATGGAATCGGATGTTCATGTCGTGTTTTCTGAGCTTTATATATATTTAAAATTTTGACTTCTTGTGGCGGAGGTACCAGAATGATTGGACCGATATACTCCATCTTCACACCAGGCTTTGGGTTAATAAAAATATAATGATGTCGGTAATTTGAAGACAATTGGATTCTTACCTTACATTTTATAGATTTATAAAGATTCAAAATTTTGACAATTTGTGGGGAGGTACTTGGGGGTGTGAACTGATATGTACCCACCTGACCTAGCACTGATGCAAATATTAGGAATTGCAAAATCGGAGCCTAATCGGATTACCTTTTACTTTCTGTGCGGCATTTTTTTTTTTTTTTTTTTTTTGAAAATTTCAATCTTTTGTGGGGGAAGTACCAGAAGGAGTGGACCGATAGATAGAAGACCTCTTATAGAAGACCTCTGGGTATTCTTATAGAAGACCTCTAGGTCTTCTTATAGAATACATCTATTCTATTCTTATAGAATAGAAGACCTCTTTGCCTTAGTCTATGAGAAAATCTTCGGGTCTTCTAATATATATCCTTTAAGTCTTCAAAGAACACATTCCAGTCTTAAAAGTGTCAAAGGAAGAAATATTCTAGATTAAATTTTATCATTAGTCTCCGAACAAAAAAAGTGTGTAAACTTTGTACGAAGCATTAAAAAAATTTCGGTTTTTCAAAAAAAAAAAAAAAAAAAAATGTAGATTAAGCCCCAATAGGATTTTAGGTTCTTAGGTCAAAATGGTTAAGCCTTTTATATAACACATTATCTATTCTCATAGGAATCCTAATTTTACAGGTAATTTTTGGCTGGAAAACGTTTTATAGCTAAAGGATATTTTACAGGTTTAGAAGATTTCACAGGTCTGCTATGGCAAGAACACCACTCACAGGCCTTAGGAATCCTAATATTTTGAGATATATTTCATAAAATTAATTATATAGAGCTTTGAAAATATATAAAGATCTTTGGATTACTACAAAAATTATTGGTTTTTATATGAAGCCGATTCAAAGTATATTTTCCGTTGTGGACATAGTTTCCATTTAGCCAAATGTTGGCATTTTCTAAGTACTCATTATGCAGGTGTCGTATACATAATCCCTATTTTCACCCTTTCTAGGTTGTAAATTTTATGAAACACTTTTTTAAAAATCTTGGCCTTTTATTTAATTTTATTCTCAAATAATTTATTTTTTTATCTTTTTTCTCTCATTGCAGAAGAAGAAGCATACCATTGTTTGGCCGCTCTGGTGGGCAGCAAGGATAAAGTTTTCATAAATCAAACCAAATTATTGCATGAAGTTACATGGAAGACTGTCATGCAAATTGCCAAAAAACACACGGTATGAAAAAAACATTCAAAATTTGTCACCTATTATTAAAAAAATGTCATTTTGCTTTTCTAGAAAAATGCCGTTTCATATTTTCAACGCATCTGCCCCGGCGTTAAACTGGAACGCGTTTTCATGGATTGGTGCTGGTGGATATTAGCTGGTCTACCCTTCCAGCATTTAGTACGCATTATGGATTGTTTCTTTCACGAAGGCATCAAAGTCCTGTATCGCATTGCCTTGGTCATCATTAATCTATTCCACAAGGAATGTCAATCGAACAACGAATGGAGTCCAGATAATATTAAAAATGACATTGGCAATGCCTTGATTAAGTTCTGCAAAAAAATCCCAGTATCACCGGCCAAATTGTTACATGCCGCTTTTAGTATTAGGGGACTGAGGTGAGATTCCGTTTTTCTTTTGGAATTTTATTTTGAGAAAGATAGTAATTTAATTATTTTTTTTTTGTATTTCTTTCAGTTCCACATATATTTCTAGAATATTTTTAAAGACTGAAATGCTATTGAAAAGTCGTTCCGTTTTAAATACGGGCAATAAAACCTTAGTGAAATCGCGTTCCAGCGATAATCTACCAACAAGTCAATCCCAAGTCAATATACAGATGATGTCACACACGCTGACCATAAGAGAGGTGAGTTTGAGGCAAATACTTTTCATATAATAAAAATATAAATTAATTTGAAGAAACAATATGATGACATAATATGTAATAAGTTAGGATCTAAGGTATTTAAAAAAATGAACTTTAAATATACTTCAATTCTGAATTTGAAACATTTTCTGTATATTTAAAAAACACAGTTTTTTGTTTGCAGCACCATATACAAAAATGTCAATATTTTCCGATATGCGTTGTTACGAAAGAACTATTTTTGAATGGAATATTTCAATAAAAAAAAATAGTAGTAAATAAATAATAAAAATCAAACTAAATTCAGAAATACCCCTATAAGTATGCATTATTAACTATAAGATATATTTTTTGATCGTATAATTGATGGCATACGTTATACGTTCAGATGTTCAGAAAATTGAAATCTACTAAAAAAATTTAAAAACCTCAAATGGTCAAGAATCATAAATGAATTCACTGCACTTCAACTTTTTATACCCTCAGCCATATGGCAACAGAGGGTATATATTATTTGATACGGTCAAAACGTGCCTAGTCGAAATAACGGTCTCTTTGGACCAAATCCGTTTCAGGACATTTGGAGTCGATATAGCGATGTCCGTCCGTCTGTCTGTCTAGCTGGTGCGCACGATAACTCTCGAAGGGAGTATCCGATTTGATCCAAACTTGGTACATCGTAATATTATTCTCAAACTTAGATCGAGCTCGGAGATGGACACTATCGGTCTACTCCTTCTGGTACCTTTCCCACAAAAGGTCAAAATTTTCAAAAAATAAATATTTTGCACAGAAAGAGAAACGATAATCCGATTTTGCTCCAACTTTGCAAATCCAAATATTTGCGTCAGTGCTACGTCAGGTGCGAAACATTTTGAATAATTACAACTCTTAAAAAAGGTGATGTAAGAGTCGGATTGTCTTCAAATTTCACACAACCCAATAATTTTATTAACCCAAGGTTTGGTGTTGATATGGAATATATCTGGTACCTACCCTACAAAACGTCGAAATTTTCAATACTCATTAAGCTCATAAAACGTGAAATAAACATCCAAATCCATTTAGACTTGGCACATCTGAGTAGTTCTATCAACACAAGATCTGCTACAAAGGCGGTAGAGATCGGACCATTCCATCTCGTTCCTCCCCCACAAAGGGTTAATGTTTTGAATAACTAAAAACGATCATAAAATCTGAAATAAGTATCCGGTTATCTTCTCATTACACACATCACAATATTTTTATTTAACCCAACGTCTGGTGTGAAGATGGGATACATCGGTCCACTCCTTCTGATACCTCCCCCACAAAGGGTCAATATTTTAAGTATCCATGAAGCTCATAAAACTCGAAATTAACATCCGACTCCATTCAGACTTGGCACATCTTAATATTTCTAGCAACACAAGATTTGTTATAAAGGCAGTAGAGATCGGACCATACCTTCCGGTACCTCCCCCACAAAGGTTCAAAGCAAAGAAATAAGCATCCGGTTACTTTCTCACTTTTATTAAACCATGGTCTGGTGTGGAATCGGGACATGTCGGTCCACTTCTTCTGGTACCTCCCCCACAAAAGGCCAACATTTTAAGTATCCATAAAGCTCATAAAACGCGAAACTAACATCCGATTCCATTCAGACTTGGTACATCTCAATATTTCTAGCAACACAAAAAGATAATAGGGATCGGGCCATTTCTTCTGATATCTCCTCCACAAAAGGGTCAAAGTTTTAAATAACCAAAAGGTTTATAAAATCCGAAATAAGCATCAGGTTCTCTTTAAATTTCACACGTTCCATTATTTTTACTAATACACAATATCTGTTATGAAGATGATATATAGCTGCGAACCCCTCTGGTACCTCACCCACAAAGGGCCAATATTCTGAGTATCCATGAAGAGTCACAATTTCCAATACTTATATCTGTCATAATTTGCGAAACAAGTGGGCTATTCTTTAAAACTTGCTCTATCTAAATATTTCTTTTAGCCGGAAATCTGATATGAATATGGAAATTTATCGGAATTCCTGATTTCGCATAAAATTGGATATATATATCTTTCATCTATATCTTGCTAGCACATACCAATATTTTTATTTGTATCAAATGGAGTATGCAAATGGAATGCCTCGCTATATCTGTTAGCTCACGCATACTTCCACATTTTCCAGAAATTTGGATATATAAATGATAGGAAGTAGTCGATATAGTCCAAATCTTGTCAAGTTGTAAAATTGTATATCAGACGTAGGTCAGATATGAATTGGTCGTAATTGGCCAACCGCTTCGGCAGCTCCCCCATAAAGTGTCAACAGTTTGAATAATCATTATTCCAGGCTGGGGGTACAAATCTGTCGGCAAAACCGACTGATACTATTTTTCTTGTTTTTTCAATTTATTTTCATAGTTTGCTGAATTTTTCCTGTAATTCATTTTTGGAACAAGTTTATTTTTAGCCAAGTTCATTTTGAATTGATTGGTGTTAAAAGTTTTTTTGATACATGACCATGGAGCGTATAACTGATGTCATCAATTATACGCCAAATTAATTTATTTATCAATGCAAAAAAGTTCAGAATTGGTGTTATTTATTGTTAACTATAAACTAAGTCTAAAATAAAAGAAAGGAATAAAAGACCCTATTATACTATTAAACAATAAAATAATTAAAAAAAACTCTAAAAACAATCTCGATAATATTTGGTGTTAAATAACAGCAGTACACCCCACCCCCACCAGCAAACACGCCAATTTCACCTATTTCCCTTTGATAAAAAATCCCCAGCACCCAAGCCCTCTTCCCCATTTTTCAACAGAAATAAGCTTATCCTAAACGTAGCTTTAGCTTGAGTAATAAAAACCCATAATTTCTTTATAGCAAAATTTTAATTTTAAGTAACTAACAAGCGATTATAAAGTAGAAATTAAATATTTACAGTTTTTTAGTTCATTAGTTTAGTTATTATTAATTTCTTAGTGTGTGTGCGTGTGGAAATATCACCAGAATTTATATTTTTTCTTCTTCTTTTTTCTCTCTCTTTTTTCTACACATTTGTCACGATTATTGTTTTCATGTATTATCTGTGTGCGTGTGCGTGCGTGCGCGTGTGTATGTACACATACCACTTGTAATTGTAATGGCAACATTCCCTGTTTTCCATAAACAAAAAAAAAAAAAATTACAAAAAATATGTTCATTATATTTTCTTCCGCTCCACATTCCATAGAAGCCACATCACACCGAAACTTGTCGGAACTTGGTATGAAAATAGCTTGATTTTCATTTTTATTGTTTTTTTCTGTTGAGATGTTGTTAATTTCTTTTTTATGTACCCCTTGTTGTTAATTTTCTGTTTCTGTTGTTTCTAATTTTATGTTTTATTGTTTTTTTTTAATTTTTTTGTCCGTGTGTGTGTTCTTTTTTTAGTTTAACCCCAAAATGAGTTGCAAACATTTTCCTTGCTTTAGGGCAAGTTCTAACTAACCTCCACTGAAATTGCTTTTCACATTTGGCTTTCATTCATTTTATTCTTTTATTTTCAATATTGTTTTCAATTAAATAACTTTGCTTTCAACTATTTTGTATATAATATTATTTGAAAAAATAAAATAATATATAAAAATTCGAGATTGTTTCCAAAAAAATATACAAATATTTTTCCCTCCTATGAATTGAAAATTTTCCAATATTTTTTAATAATTTATTATGTTAATAATTCTTTTTCCAATATTTTTCTCTTTTTTTTAAAACTCTTAAAAAATATATCTTAAAATGCTGCCTATATCTAAACCTGAATATATATACCAATAAAACCAACGCGCTTTCTGGCAATGCGCTATTTTGCTTCTTTGCCGCCGTTGCCAATTCTCTTTTTCTTGATTACCTTATTATTTCCAATTTCTATTTTTCTTATTTTCATCTATATCTTGTCTCTATAAAATATCAATTTTCTCTTTTTATAAATATGTAAAAATATGAATAATTAATAGGGTGAAAAATCACCCGGCCATCGAGCCATTGCCATGGGTGTCTATCCCATACATCAGTTGAAATCTTTAGTCTGTGCCAACGAGGATGTAAGTGTGATTATTTTGGTGTCAAAAAATATATAGAAAAATATCATATCGATGTCTTTCTCTATAAATCTCTTTTTAGATGTCTTGAAATACTTGTGTTGTAGATTATCAATTCATAGATTTTTTTTAGTTTTTTTTTTTTTTCTCTTTATTGAATAGATTTTTTATTTTTTCGATTTTCTTCTAGAACACCATTTCTACACACACAGTTACACAAATTGCAGGTGGATTACAAAATAATGTATTATTAGATGTTTTTATTGATGCTGCTTTTCTTAGGTCTTCTATTTGCATAGATATGGTGCATACTTTTAGGCAGTTCATAATTAAAGCAAATATGGTAAAGGTTTAAAATAAATGATCAGATGTTCATAATACAATGTAGAGAGAGAGAGGTATTCCGTAACCTGTGTAACAAAACTTCAAATTTTCGAAAATTACAGGAAAACTCAATAATTTTTGAAAGTAGAAGGGGTAAGTTCCCTCTTCTACCAGATTTTTTTTGAAGTTTTCGGATTGAATATTCCTTGAAATTCTTGCATTTTAGGCATATAGTATCCTTATCAATATAACTGATAACAATACAAGGATAATTTTGCTAAAAGGTTTTAACCCTCAAACGAGTCACCAAAGGGGACTTTTTTGGACCTTTTTCAATAAATGGTTGAAAACTCCTCTTAAACGGGTTCGTGGCAAGTCAAAATATTTTACACATTTATTTGTCATAAAATTCTACAATGTCCCAGAATATATGAAAACTTTAAATCTGACCCGAAATAAAAATTAAAAACTCATTTCAGGGTTAAGATTGTATTTTTTCGGATTAATATTCCTTGGAATCCCGGCATATTCAATATATATTGTCTTCGGAAGTATTACTAATGATAATGCGAAGATTAGTTTGGATGAAAATTTTTAACCCTCAAGTGAGCCATCTAAGGGGTCTTTTTGGCCCTTTTCAGAAAACCTGGATAAAAACTCCCTTTAAACGGGTTCGTAGCAAGTCAAAATATTTCACGAAATTATTTGCCATAAAATTCTAAGTTAATGAGTTTTGAAATACGTCAAATCTGTAAATCTTATAAATAACAAAAGCTCATCTTACGGTTAAAATCGTATTTTTTCGAATTAATATTCCTTGGAATCCTGGTATATTAAATATATAGTGTCTTCGGAAGTATTACTGAAGACAATGCGAAGATTATTTTAGATATACATTTTTAACCCTCAAGCGAGCCATCTAAAGGGTCTTTTAGGTCCTTTTCAGAAAAACTGGATAAAAACTCAGTTTAAACGGGTTCGTAGCAAGTCAAAATATTTCACAAAACTATTTGCCATAAAATTCTACTATAGGTTTCGAAATAAGTCAAATATGTCAATCTTATAAATACCAAAAACTCATTTTAGGGTTAAGTTCGTATGTTTTCTGATTAATATTTCTTGGGGTCATGGCGTATTAAATATATAGTGTCTTCGGAAGTATTACTGAAGACAATGCGAAGATTATTTTAGATGGACATTTTTCACCCTCAAGCGAGTCTTCAAAAGGGGTCTTTTTGGTCCTTTTCAGAAAAGCTGCTTAAAATTCCATTTTAACGGCAAGGTAGCAAGTCAAAATATTCCACAAAATTATTCGATATGAAATTCTGCTATAGATTGCCGGTACGCCAGACTCTGACATTTTGCATACATTAGATATTTTATTCAAAATTCCTCTTTTTTAGGGCAAATGTAGAATGAAACCTACAAATATGCCCATGTTTTTAATGTTTCTCTTAGGCATCCTAAAAGTATGCACCACAAATTAAAATATTTCTCTCTGTCAAAGAATTCCCCAAGAGAGGATTATTTTATTTACGTTTTGTCTGAAATATAAACATTATTTTATGTAATTTTGTTAAAAGACATAATTTTATGAACGACAGCGACGATCTAATCGTTTTAGATGAAATTTGCAATTTTAGGCATTTAATGCTTAAAAACTCCTAACTAAAACAAACTAAATTGTTCTTTTTCCCTGTTGTGAATCCCCTTGTTGTTAATACTGTTCTTGTCCTCACTCTCTCCCTCTCTCTGTCGCTCTATATACTCTCATCCTCCTCCGTCAGTAGTTCCTTGTTTGTCCTTAGAATAATTCGAAAACGTTCTTAACCCCGAAAATCAAAGTTCTTAACTAAATTCAAATTCGTTATTTGTCAAAAACAAATTGTCCCAAAATTTATTGAGTTTTTTTATTTTATTTTCTTCCACCTTTAGAATTTTGATACAGTGGATGTTAAAAATTTAATTGAATTTATTCAGGAAAGATTTAATGTAAGCAAATTACAAAATTGGATATAACTCGTTGCGTTTTCTTCACCTCCCAACCGTCGATAATTTGTCAAGTCGAATAAAAAGAAACACATCAGTCAAACAACAGCAAGACATGAACATGACATGATCTCCACACAGCATTTGTTTGACAATCTTCCTTCCCCGAAATAACTTATTAAAGATTTAGATGACCTGCGTTACTTCGCTAATTTAAAAAAAATCCCAATAACCAAAAAAATACACAAAATATCACACTATACAGTCAAAACAACATCAGCAACAGCTAAAAACAAATTTCGACTTGGAAAGGATTTGAATAATAATAATAATAATA